TAAAGCCAGAAGAGGGTTCAGGGTTCTCCGGAAGTGGAGTTAGCTGCCTTGTGAGTTCTGGGAACTGAACAGTGGTCCTCTGCAAGAGCAGCCAGTGCTCTTAACCCTTGAGCATCTCTCCAGCCCTAGGAACAAAGCTTTGATCCAGACTACATCATGCCGGCCAGAGGAAAGTCACAAGGGTCACACGTGGTATGATTCCATTCGTATGAAATGTTCAGGATAGGGAAAGTCATAAGGTTTTTTTTTACATTTATTTAGTTGTATTTATGCACATGCATGAGTCACAGCACATTTGTGGAGGCCAAAGAACAACTTGTAGGATTCAGTCCTTCCTTGTACCATGTAGGTCCTGGGGATTGAACTCAGATTTTCAGTGTTGGTGACAAAAGCCTTATCCTGAGGAGCCTTCTCACAGTCTTCTCTCCTTTCTGGGAATTTTCTTTGCTTGTAAATGAAGTTAGAGCTGGGTCAGAATTTGTGATAGGTCTCTGAGGATCCTGGGTCTTAGAAGTAGCGGCCTCCCCAGTTCGTGATGAACTATAAGAGTGTGTGCCCTAGAGCGGTGGTTTTCAACCTTCCTAATGCTGTGAACTTTAACACAGTTCCTCATGCTGTAGTGACCCCCCAGCCATAAAATGATTTTCATTGCTACTTCATAACTGTAATTTTGCTACTGTCATGGATCATAATGTAAATATCCGTGTTTTCTGATGGTCTTAGGTGACTCCTGTGAAAGTGTCATTTGATCCCCAAAGGGGTCACAACCCACAGGTTGAGAATCAATGCCCTAGAGCCAGTTTGGGTTCTAACAGCAATGGCAAGTGGGCCTACAGCAGAGTCCAGCTTCTCTATTTCTTCTCAGTAAAATAAGGACAATAACGTCTCCCTCCCAGGATTACTACCGGGGTGTAAATGAGATAGCACATATAAAGTGTCAGGGATAGGTCTGGCACATAGTAAATCCTCCACACATGCAATAGCCCCACTTGGATTCCACAGGCATTTCCTGAGCAGCAAGTCTGGGCCAGGCCCGTGCTAGAGGCTGGAAGGCCGAGGAATTCCACTCTGAATAGCTGAAGCAGTGGCCCCCAGCCAGGTGGAGAGATAGTTAGCCCCATAAACTGTAGTGCCAGAAGGGTGATGTCATGGCTAAAAAGAGACATCAGCCATGTGCGATGCAGACCCTGGGACAGTGGGAGGTTTCCCAATCAAAAGGCCAGACCAAGCTCGGTGTGGCGTGATGGAACATGGCTGTGATCCCAACACTTGGGAAGTAGAGGCAGGAGGATCAGGAGTTCAAGGGTATCTTCAGCTCCGTAACAAGATGCACGAGACCTTGTGTCAACCTCACTCTCCATAAAGCTAGCTGAGACTTGGAGAGGCCATCCCAGGGCAAATATAAAGCACAAAGTTAAAGGCATCCTTGCTTGTCTTCTAATTCATATTCAAATGTTCCCACGAACCCATCAACATAGACTGCAGCGGAGTTACCAGTCAGCTCTGACAAGCTTGACCTCATCCCAAAGTGTAGGAAGAGGGCCAGCAGCTAAGAGTGCAGAGCTGTGTGGCCTCTGGCAAACCAGGAGACCTCTTCAAGCCTCCACTTCCCCAGCTGTAAGAATGGAGACCATAATACTCCTGGACTAACCCTGGTGGTAAGAAGGAAGCAGCCAAGCTCCTAGCACTTGTGACCAGTGCAATAAAGACAGGGAAAAACAGACTCCACTTTGGATGTGGACTGAGAGGCCAGAGGGCTTGCTGTAGTCACAGTGCTTGGTTGTGGAGTCAGGATTTGAACTCAGATCATAGATACCAAGGCTCACTGCATCCTCATCCACCTCTGTGAATCCTCAGTCGGTTCTCTGTTGTCTACTACATGCAATAGCAAAGGCATGGGGCTAGGAATACCCTGGGAAAACTTCCTCATCCTGGGTTTCTGTTTGGAGATGCAATCTATGTACAGCCCCAGATGGCCTTGTGATCCTACCACTTCAGCCTCCCAAGTTTCTGGAGTTACAGATACACACCCCTGTGGCCAGCTTTTAAAGAAGTGTTCATGAGGGAGCAAAGTGGGAACCTTCTAAATCCTTTTTGAGGGGATGCTGGGGATCAAACCCTGAGCCTCACAATGCTAAGCAACCACGCTACCACCATGATACATCCCAATCCTCCATACTGAGTATGTTCATCTTAGATCTTTTAATTTCTCCACATCGTATACACAAACGTCTCCATCCAGTGAATAGGGTTTTTTTGTTTGTTTGTTTGTTCGTTTGTTTGTTTTGAGACAGGGTCTCATGTAGCCTAGGGTAATCTTGAACTTCCAGTCTTCCTGCCTCTAGTTTCCAAATGGTAGGATTACAGGTGTCCACCACCACACCCGGTTTATGTGGTGCTGGTTATCAAACCCAGAGCTTCATGCATGCCAGCAAATATTCTACCAACTGAGCCTCAGCCCTAAAGAAACAAACCAATTTGTGGAGATAATGTTTACCTTGAAAGGCTGTGGAAGGATTAAACGAGGGAACTGGTGGGAAGTACCTGAGATAGTGTAAAGTTTTCACTAATGTCAGTATCTCCCTCCCTCCCTCCCTCTCTCCCTCCCTCCCTCCCTCCCTCCCTCCCTCTCTCCCTCCCTCCCTCCCTCCCTCTCATCCTATCAGATCATCATTCCAGGCACCACTCCAGGGTCTGGGGAAGTGATTCTCAGCCTTCCTAATGCTGCGACCCTTTAATACAGTTCATGTTGTGGTGACCCCCAACCATAAAATTATTTTCATTGTAACTTCATAACTGTGATTTTGCTACTATTATGAATCATAACGTAAATATCTGATATGCAGGTGGTCTTAGGCGACCCCTGTGAAAGGGTCATTCAGTCCCAAAGGTTGTGACCCACAGGTTGAGAACCACTGCTGTAAGAGAACAGTGAGTCCCCCTGGTTTCTTGATCTAGAGTTCTCCCTTCCAAAGGTTTTGCTATTTTCTCAGGTTGCTTCTTTGTCTTTTCCTTTTCTGGGCCTTTCAGGGGGTAGTGAGTGAGACAGCCAATGGCCACGCTGATGGAATTCGCACCCAGGAGATGGAAACAACAAACAGAAGTAATTTCAGGTGCTAATAACTGCTATGTGACAGACTGGCAAGGCGGGGTGGCATCTAAGGGGCAAACATCTGAATGACAAGGAGCCGGCCAGGCCAGGACTTAGAAGTAAATCATCCAAGAAGAGGAGCACAGGGTAAAAAGTCTTGCTGGGAGGACCTTTGACCCTTCATCCCACTCCCACCGTTCACCATATCACTCTGAACAAGTCAGGTAACTTCTCAGGCTCAGCTCCCACATCTACAGAACAGAAACAAAGCCACAGTGTGAGGATGCTCAACCAAATGGGCTGTTCAGATCTGGGATCCCGCCCATAGTTCACCCATAATCACCGGGCATATCACTGCTGATCCAGCTCAGAGGAGAGGAACCTGTACAGAGAGCCCTGGGCCATGGTGCTTTTGTTTTTATTATAATCTCATTTTTGTTTGTTTTGGTTTTGAGACAAGTTCACACCATCTAACTCAGGCTGGTGTGGAATTCTTATGTAAACCAGGCTGGGCTAGAACTCACTGAGATCCTCCTGCCTCAGCCTCTCGAAGGCTGGAATTAAAGGCTCAAGCCCAGGATTCCCTGCCTATTGTAATTTCATTATGAATTAGAAATGGTTTCCTTTGCCTGTCACTTGGGGTTACTGCTTCCTACCTGGTCAGTAACTACCAGACCACCTATGAGGGCTATCTGTCCTAGGGAAAGATGGACCTGCTTTATCTAGGGAGTGAAGGATTCTGGTCCCTGGGTTGGGCCACTGATTTACAGTAACAATTCTCCCTCATAAACCTCTCTCAATTTGACACCCCCTTTCTCTAGCTCCACAACCATGGCTTGCCTCAGCCTCAGTCTCACACCTGAAATCTGCCCGCATCTGCCCAAACCTAACATATGAAACTGTCTCTTTTCGCTGCTAGAACCCCAGACCAAAGGTTTCTTCCTTGGGGCTCTTAACAGCCTGCCCCACACTCTAGAGCTCATCTTTTATTGACATCAAACTAATTAGGAGTTTGGTATCTTAGTCATAATTAATTCCCTAGGGTTTGGTCAGATGCGTTTCATTTAAGTAACATTTTAACAGGAGCCTCAGATTTTGAACAAACCTCTCACAACCTAGGAATAAGAAAGTCAAATTGGCCGGGCGGTGGTGGCGCACGCCTTTAATCCCAGCACTCGGGAGGCAGAGCCAGGAGGATCTCTATGAGTTCGAGGCCAGCCTGGACTACCAAGTGAGTTCCAGGAAAGGCGCAAAGCTACACAGAGAAACCCTGTCTCGAAAAATCCAAAAAAAAAAAAAAAAGAAAGAAAGTCAAATTGCTGTGGGTTGCCAGAGGATGAGGGGTCTGTGTAGGGGTAGGAGGATCATGAACTTGCATATTTAAAAAGAGCCCCACGGGGCTGGAGAGAGGGCGGTTACGGGTACTTGTTGCTCTCGCAGGGGACCCGATGCCCTCCCTATTCTACAGGGTCCCATCTCACAGGACGTCGCTGGCTCTGACTCTCGGGGATCTAAGCCTGCAGGCAACATCCCGCCGATGGAGCCACACCCCTTCCTACTTCCCAAGGCCTGTTCCCCAGGGTACCGATGTATCCCTAGAGCCCAGGTCGCGTCTCACGAAGTGCCCCTTCCAGGCCGCCGTCCAGCTTCACAGACGCAGGGCTCCTTCCCGACCCAGCTCTTTAAGCCCAGCGGGGCGGTCTGCGCAGGCGCCCTGGGTCGTGCCGAGGCCCCGCCCCCTGAGCCTGGGTAACGGCGTGAGGAGTTTGAGCTTGGCGAGCAGCTGGACAACGAACGAGTAGGTCGGGGCTCGGCGACGGCGGCTGGCGAGGGTCAAGTTTCCTCGGGAGGAGAGCTGTGAGGGAGGGGTCTGAGAGCGATTGGAACGCGGCGGGCCGGCAGAGGCGGCGGCTGGGACGGCGGCCGGCCCCGGGGAAACTTGTGTCCAGTGAGGGGGTTGGGCTGGCGCGTGCTGAACCCAGATTTCCAGCTCGCCTGCTCCCAGCTCGGACGCGGTCAGCGAGGCTGGAGCCAGAGTTCTAGGAAATACTTAAAAAGCCACCATCAAAAAACTGAGAGAGCTCAGGACCAAACTTTGTCCAGGGATGGGGAGTGAACGGGGCCCATCATGGGGACCAGCCAGGGCCAGCTACCCTGCTGTAGCTGCAGGCCCCGAGCCCGCCCTGGCCTCGCCCATGGGATTAAAGTCCGGCCGGATTTCTCTGTGGGCGTTTAAAGTTTTTCGTGATCCATTCATCACTACTTAGTTAACCCTCACTGGCTACTGTGATCTAGCACTAGCAGAGAAGTTTCAAGGCGAATGCTGTTTTTATGGTAGAGGTACGAACCTGGACAGGGACGTCCAGGGATGGCTTCCAAAACTAAATCAAGAGTCGTGGGGGAGTGTTCCAGGATGAATACGGCGACTGTGGACGTAGCTCAGTGGGAGAGCCTTTAAGCCACAGGGAAACCAGCATCTGCCGAGACCTAGGAAGTGAGAGAGGGTGGTGCGTCTCAGTCACTTAAGACACTTTGACTACTCTGAATCTACTTAGTGCCCAGGGAAGAGGAGGGGGTTGGCCGGTGCTCGGCTAGATCAGGAGAGGCAGACATAGAGGAATTCAGAGCGCTGCGTTTAGTCAGCAGAATCCACAGGACTGGAAGAGATGGGATGTGGGGGAAAAGTGCATGCATGGGAGGCTTGGGTGCCAGGGTGAGATTCATCAGAAGAGGGGCATCCCAGGAGCAGCTGAATATTCTGCTTGAAAACCAGGGAAGTACTTGCTGTGAAAATGCAAACTGAAGTGTCATTAGCCAAACAAGTCACAGAAGGGTTAAGTCTATAGAAAGAAAACCAGTTAGCAGTTTTCTAGTTGTTGTTGTTATTATAGGGTTTGTGTGTATGAGTGTGCATGGACACCCACAGTTGACATTCTGTGTCCCTCAGTTGTGATACACCCTTTGGAGCTGTGTGTGTGTGTGTACAGATGTGTCTCTTTGCATGTGAGAGTGCGTTTATATGTACACGCACGTGTGGAAAACTGAGCATCAGGTGTCTTCCTTGGTCACTCTTCACCTCTGTCTCTGCCCCTCAAATTCTGGGATTATAGGTCACCCCCATCTGCCCAGCATTTATGTGGGTGCTGGGGATCTGATCTCTGGTCCTCATGCTGTGTAGCAGGCTCTCCACCCGCTGAGTACCCTCCCCCCCCCCCAGCCCTCTACCTTGTTTTTTTGAAGACAGGGTCTTATTGAACCTGGGGCTCACTCACAGTCACTGACCAGCAACTCCAGAGGTCCAGCTGTTACAATGTCCACAGCAACGGGGCTTCAGAAGAGTACCACACTACTGTGGCCATCTTTTGTGGGTGCTAGGGATTAAGTTCTTTTTTGTTGTTGTTGTTTTGTTTTTGTTTTTTGGTGCTTGTCCTGGATCTCACTCTGTAGACCAGGCTGGCCTCGAACTCAGAGCTCCACCTGGCTCTGCTGGGATTAAAGGTGTGCGCCACCACGGCCAGCTTGGGGATTAAGTTCTTGCTCAATGCTTGTGTGGCCAGCACTTTACCAATGAGCCACTGCCTCAGCCCTGCTGTTATTGTTATTACTGATACAGGGTCTTCCTGGGTACCCTAGGCTGGCCTCAAACTCATGGTTCTCCTGCCTCTACTTCCTGAGTGCTGGCATTGAAGGCCTGGGCCACCATGCCCATCCATAGTAATTATTTTTAATGTCCCTAGTACCTAGCCAAGGGCCTGGCATTTGTAAGCCAAGCAAAACCCAGCAATAGACAGCTATTGGAATTCCAGGTATGTAGAGGTGGGGACTAGTGGAGGTCCCGTTGCTCTAATGTTAGAGCCGTGGGTTGCCCTCTGGCCCTGTTACTAAGTTGCTATATGACCTTTAACAAGTCTCCCACTGCTTGTAAAGTGGATACATAACCAAGACAAGTTCCTACATACAGCATTCTGCTATGGGTTCATATGTTGGGCTTGGTCCACAATGTGGTGACTTTAGGAGGTAGTGGGACCCTTAAGAGGTGAGGCCTAGTGGGATGCCCCTAGATCATTAAGGAAGTTGGCATTGGAAGACATTGAGATAGGAGTGAGTTGTTATGGGTGAGCCTGAGTCCTACTGTTTGGTTCCTTCCTGCTGACATGCCCATCATTGAAAGGCTGTCAGCCTGGGAGTCCTCACCAAGCCAGCACCATGCCCTGCAGCATTCAAAACAGAGAGCTTAATTAGTAAACTGTTCAGCTGGGTGTGGTGGCTCATGCCTGTGATGCCATTGCTTGGGAGAGCGGAGGATTGCTGAGTTGGAGGCCAGTCAGAGTGACATAGCAAAATCCTGACCAGAAAAAAAAGTAATAAAACTTCTTATTTGAAATATATTTTTGAGCCTGGCAGTGGTGGTGCACGCCTTTAATGCCAGCACTCGGGAAGCAGAGGCAGGCGGATCTCTGTCTTGAGATCACGTGTTCATTCTGTCAAAGCATTGTGCTGAAGGCTGGCTGACTTGGATGAATTATCTAAAACCACCTCATCCACGAGAAGGAGACAGAGGCTGAAAATGACGGAGGTTATCTATCATTGTCCAACTCCCTTCTTGTCGACCGCTGAGTACGGCAGCCATGTTTGTTTCTTAGAATTAAATGACGGCAGGGTGGGACAAGAGTAGTGACCAGATGTTTCCAGATTTTTATCCAGATCCTCTGAAGCCCAAACCTGCTATAAAATAAATGAGTAGCCAGATGTGAGCTGGTGGACCTCCTAGCATCTCTGGCAGCCAGACAGAGTACTTCTTCACTTTGGGCCGGGCAGCTCAGTTTCAGGTATTTCTACTTTGATAAAGTAATTTCTTTTTCTTTTTTCTTTGTTTTTCAAGGCAAGGTTTCTCTGTGTGTAGCCCTGGCTATACTGGAACTCACCCTGTAGACCAGGCTGGCCTCGAACTCATAGAGATCCGCCTGCCTCGGCCTCTCAAGTGCTGGGATTAATGATAATATGACTTCTTAAAAATATTTTTTGTCCCTTTTATATGTGTTGATAAATGTCCACATAAGGATGTAATTGTTTTGTGCTAGTAAATTGGCTCCTGGTTCATATAAGGGAGAAATTGACTGTAGACGGATTTTTCTTTGGGCTACCAGCTCACAAATAATGACTCGGAGACTTACTAATTATGAAAACTCGGCCTTAGCTTAGGCTTGTTCCTAACTAGTTCTTATAATTTAATTTAACCCATATTTTTTCATCTGCGTGGCTCGGATGCCTTTACTGTTCTGCCCATCCTGTTTCTTCCACGGCTGGCTGGTGACTCCGCCTTTCTTCTTCTTCAAGACTTCTCTGTCCCCAGAAGTCCCGCTAACCTCTTCCTGCCTAGCTGTTGGCCATTCAGCTCTTTATTAAACCAGTCACAGTGACACATCTTCACACCGTGGGAAGAGATATTCCACAACAGTTGATCTTATTTGCATTTCATGACATTCCATAGTCTCCTCCCCTACCTGCTATATATTTTGTTTGATATCTACTGATGCAGGTTGTCGGAATAAGAAAGGAAATTAGTGCCAAGAGAGATGACTCATTAGGTCAAGGTGTTTGCCTCAAGGCTGCTGACCTCAGGTTGATCGCGGAGAGCCCGTGGTGGAAGGCAAGGACGGGCTTGCAGAGTGTCGAATGACTTCTACCAAGCATTCCATGGCAACACACACACACACACACACACACACACACACACACACACACACACACTCTAATAAATGTAATAAAAAAAAATTTAAAGAAGGGAAATTAACAATTTCCATTTCAGGAAACCATTTGAAAATGCAGTTTCAGCCCCTTCCTCCCGCTGAGCCCCTTCAATCATAATCTCTGGGGTGGGGCCCAGTAATATGTATTTTTTCCCAAGCAACCCAGAATGTTTTTTTTTTTTTTGGTTTTTCGAGACAGGGTTTCTCTGTGTAGCTTTGCGCCTTTCCTGGGACTCACTTGGTAGCCCAGGCTGGCCTTGAACTCACAGAGATCCGCCTGGCTCTGCCTCCCGGGTGCTGGGATTAAAGGCGTGCGCCACCACCGCCTGGCTGCAACCCAGAATGTTAAGCCAGGTTTGGAAACCACTCATTTATCCCTTCCTACGTATGCACAGATAGGGAATCCGTAGTTCTGGGAGGGGAAGTTACTTGTTCCAGTCACATATGGCATTAGAGCCTTTTCTCCATTGAGGGGTTTAGGACCGGAAGTCCAGAGACCTGCACTTAAACTGCAGCTAGACCTGCCATTGTCTCGAGCAACTCGTTTTACTCCTCTGAACCTTGGCTTCCTCCCTGTGAGAGTCATACCGTTGTTGTATTGAGACCCCAAAGAGAAGGAGTCGCCTTGGAAGCACCGGGGGACTCGTTTTGTGCACATGGAGGAAGTGGAAGCAGTTGGTTCCCTACCACAATTGCCCCTCCATGGCAACTGGCCAAAATCTCACAATGTTGGCTGTAGCCACATTCCAATGGCTGCTGGGCCCTCTGTCACCAAGCCCTCTTGTCTTCACAGGTGGGGATGGCTGCCAGCTGGGGGAGCATCTTGCAGGATGAGAAGCAGCTTGAAGAGTTGGCACAGCAGGCCATAGACCGAGCCTTGGCTGAGGGCGTGTTGCTGAGGTCTGCACAGAATCCCAGCTCCTCAGATGTAAGCTGCTTAGAGCCTACCCTCCCGGGATGGGGGCAGCCCCTTTGGGTCAAAGACTACATCTCTTTCCTTATTTTATTTAATAACTAAAATTGATTCCCAGAAGTATGTAAAGTAAAAAGCAGCATGCTGGAGTAATCAAACTTAAATCTGAGGGTTGAAGTGTAATTTAGGCAGCTACTTAATTCCTGTAAGATGTGCTTTCTTCCAATAGGTGAACGCGATATGACTACATAATTGACCATGTGAGGCAATTAGGAGATCATTCCCAGGAAGCACTTTGTCAGGGGACCTATCATAGATCAAGCACCCCCAATCACATGTCTTCTCTGCAATTGCTTTTGTTTGTTTGTTTGTTTGCTTTTGAAACAGAGTCTAAGCATGGAGCCCTAGCTGGCTTAAAACTCACTGTGTAGACTAGGAGGGCCTTGAACTCATGGCAGTCCTCCCACGTCTCCCTTCTAAGTGCTGGGACCCTAGGTATGCATCACCATGCATGCCTAGCTAGGTTTTTGATATACTCCTTCAGCTTTTTGTGCACATACATATGTATATATACGTATATATGTAATTTAAAATATAAAATATACATATGTGTAACTTAAAATCCAAGTTGAACCATATATATTATTATTCTGTGCTGTAATTTTATTTTTTGTTTAGCAGTCTGTCTTAAATCTCTTTCTAAGGAATTAGCCTCCTGTGAGGGTTAGCTTCATATTTTGATAAAACAGTATCAGTTTATTTTTATTGTCAAGGGTTATAACAGATTAAATGTTTAAAAGTAAAGGCCAAATTCTAGTGCTCATGTAGTCGCTTATTCTATCTGCTCTAGGCCTACTGTCCCCAACGTCATAATTATGTCACGTTTGTGTAAATATGTGGTAACGCTCAGTATTATTTGAATAAATCTGTTCTGTGATGCAAAGATTAAACACTCATTTATCAGGCAGCAATTTTATTTTATTTATTTGTTTGTTTTTGCTTTTTCGAGAAAGGGTTTCTCTGTGTAGCTCTGGCTGTCCTGGAACTCATTCTGTAGACCAGGCTGGCCTGGAACTTAGAGATCCACCTGCCTCTGCTACCCTAGTGCTGGATTAAAGGCGTGTGCTACCACCGCTGGCTCTAGCATATTTTATTTTATAATTCAAAAATAGGCTATTAAATAAACTGATGAAGGCAGTCAAAGGCAAAATTTTGTTTAAATTCAAGGGTGGCTCTTACCTTACAGCCTCCATTCCACAAATACTTACTTTAAAAGAAATTTAGTGTATTTTTTGTTTGTTTTTCTGAGAGAGGGTTTTTTTCTGTATATCCCTGGCTGTCCTGGAACTTGCTCTGTAGACCAGGCTGGCCTCTAACTCAGAGATTTGCTCATCTCTGCCTCCGAATGCTGGGATTAAAGACGTGCACCACCACCACCACCCGGCTTAGTGTATCATTTTTGAGAAATACTCTGTTAGAGATACCTACTATTGTCCACACATAATCATCTGGTATTTTACTTGTTACCATAATTGTGAAGATAGCCAAGTTTCTTGTAATTATTAACCTGTTATGTGGTTCACTTATATGTTAGCCAAATATGCTTGTCATTAACGCCATACTTTCCCAGTTTTTGATGCTCTGATATGTTGATTTGAGTCTGTCGTCGTCATTATAAAACTTTTCTGTGACACTTGCAGTCAGCCCTACAGCTATAACCTGCTGACGTGTTCAGCACTCACTACACAGTTCCCTCAGTGCTGCCGCCACCAGCTTTCACTGCTTGTCACAGGTCTGGCTGCACACCAGCACATTTTATTTTATGTGTATGAAATTGTCCTGCTCAGGGACAATTTCATTCTGTTCTAGTGTTCCAGCGGTTTAACTTTCTGTACCGAGGGCTGTTTAGGGAACATTATGTCTGCAGATAGCACAAGGAATGATGCATGCGCGCTTGGGCAGCTGTGTGTGTTTCTCTAGGACTGATATGTAAATGTAGAGTTGCTGTATCCACCTTTAAAACATCTCCTCCTTTACCTGGGCTTAGTCACACTTGTGAAGCAGGAGGATTGCTTGAAGGCACAAGATGAGACCAGCGGGACAACATACTAAGATATTATCTCAAAACAACAATAGCAACCAAACAAAAACCACTGTCCTTAGAACAAAACACAGATGGGGCTGGGGAAATGGCTCAGCGGTTAAGAACAATGGCTGCTCTTCCAGAGGACCTGGGTTCAATTCCCAGCACCCCCATGGCAGCTCACCACGGTCTGTTGTAACCCCTTCACACAGACACACATGCAGGCAAAAACACCAACTGCACATAAAATAAATAATTAAAAAAAAAAACAAAGCAAAAAGAAATCTGTTTATTTTGCAACTAGATTATACATTCAGAAAACATTTTCCTGTGTCAAAATGCAAAAGTTTCAAGAGTTGGTTAACCCACTCTTCCACATTCCCTGTCCACTCAACCCCCCTCTCCTAAAGGCAGCCTATACTTAGTGTCTTACTTATCCTTTCAGGGAATAATGAATAAGTAACAAGTAAATAACTAGATATTTGTTTTCTCTCCAATTTTTTGTTTGTTTTGAGATGGGGTCTCACTGTGTAGTCTATACCAGCCTCTAACCCTCTGTTCTCCTGCCTCAGTCTCCTGAGTGGCTGTACTTCCTGTTGGTACCCGCCACACCCAGCCCCCTTCCTCTCTGTATGAAAAGGCACGTAATAGACCAGCTCTTCTGTCTTTTGCTCCTTTCTTTTCTCTTCCGTCCTTCCTACCCCGCTTGCTTGCTTGCTTACTGAGAGCTGACTGATACTGTGGGAGGTTGGCCTCCGGTTTTGGAAATAGTATTGCTTGGTCTAGGAACTTCAGGTTTATGAATTACCAGAATCCAAGGTGGAATATTTTCTTTTTCAAGTTTTTATTTCTTCCTTTAATAAATGGGTATCATGTGAAAGTTTAATATTTAATCTTTCTGGGATTTAATGGAGCCTACAACAGGCACAGACCTCAGTGAGACTTCTTTCTTTGGGGAAATGAGGATAGTTTGAGACAGGGCCTAGAACTTATGGCAGTGCTCCTGCCTCAGCCTCCAAGTCCTGAGATTTTAGATGTGTACCACTTTCCCTGACTCTCAGTGAGATTTTGCTCTCTTTATTTAAACATATGTTATTATTTGTATGTATGTCTGTATGTGTTTGTATATGTATGTTTGAGTGCAGGCACCCACGTGTCATGGTATGCATGTGCAGGTGTGTGTGAGTGCAGGCACCCACGTGTCATGGTATGTATGTGTAGGTGTGTGTGAGTGCAGGCACCCACGTGTCATGGTATGCATGTGTAGGTGTGTGTGTGAGTGCAGGCACCCACGTGTCATGGTATGTATGTGTAGGTGTGTGTGAGTGCAGGCACCCACGTGTCATGGTATGCATGTGTAGGTGTGTGTGAGTGCAGGCACCCACGTGTCATGGTATGCATGTGTAGGTGTGTGTGAGTGCAGGCACCCACGTGTCATAGTGTGCATGTGTAGGTGTGTGTGTGAGTGCAGGCACCCACGTGTCATGGTATGCATGTGTAGGTGTGTGTGAGTGCAGGCACCCACGTGTCATGGTATGCATGTGTAGGTGTGTGTGAGTGCAGGCACCCACGTGTCATGGTATGCATGTGTAGGTGTGTGTGAGTGCAGGCACCCACGTGTCATAGTGTGCATGTGTAGGTGTGTGTGTGAGTGCAGGCACCCACGTGTCATGGTATGCATGTGTAGGTGTGTGTGAGTGCAGGCACCCACGTGTCATGGTATGCATGTGTAGGTGTGTGTGAGTGCAGGCACCCACGTGTCATAGTGTGCATGTGTAGGTGTGTGTGAGTGCAGGCACCCACGTGTAGGTGAGAGGACAGCTTTTGGAATCGGTTCTCAGCTTCCACCTTTCTTCTGCTGTCCTGCAGTCCAGGCTGGCCGGCCTGGGAGCGTCCAAGCAGCTCTCCTGTCTTTGCTTGCCACCTCGCCCTAGCAGTGCTAGGATTACATGTGTGCACCACCAAGTCCAGTTTTGCTGCTGTGTTTGTTTTGTTTTTACCTACCAAGCCATCTCCCTGGTCCTCAGTGACCTTCCCAATCCAGAGAAAAAGACGAGGCTGGAGAGAGAACTCAGCAATTAAGAGCACTGACCAGGGTTCAGTTCTCAGCGCCCACATGGCAGCTCACAATTGTAACTCCAGTTGCAGGGGTTTGGACACCATCACACAGACATACATGCAGGCAAAACACCAATGCACACAAAATAAATCGTTTAAAATAAAATAATGTTTTTAAAAAGAGAGAGGAAAAAGACGGGGTGTGTGTGTGTGTGTGCAGGCATATATGATTTTGTTCTAATTCATACCTTGCTTCATGTCAGCACAGCCTTGACATGGAAGACTAGGTGAGTCAGCCAGAGGTTCTCACCTTTGGAGCACGGGGTTTAGTTGGAGAATGGACCAGGGAATAAAATTAAGGCCTGTCGTTGGAGGAGGAGGTGCAGGCAGTGCAGCATTAATTGTCATTGACCACTCACCGTGTGTCAGGCTTTATTCTAAACACTCTGGAACTGCTGACTCTTTTAACCCTCATCACAGCAGAGTTGGAGAAACTGCAGACCAGAGACGTTAGATAACCCGACTGAGGTCATTGAAGTCGTGGGGAGCCTGGCAGAGCCGGGATCTGATCCCATAGAGTGTGGCTCCGAGGCCATGCTCTGCATATTCTCCCGTCTCTCTTGGGAAGCCTGGTAGAAGTAATTCATTTTGACTAGACGTAAAATGGAGAATGATAGTTAAATTAGAACTTAAAAGACAGATGGGGGAAAGGAACAGTATAGCAGGGGCCCAGAAGTAGGGAGAGGCCAAAAATGTTCTAAGCAGGGCTGGTCAGTGGGTGAAGTCAGGTGAAGTCAAACAGCCAAGAGGCTCTTGATACTGGGCGGAGGGGACTGTGACCTTCACCCTGTAGATCAGCATAGCAGATCAGCCACATGTGGGCTGCAGATCTGGCACCTGCAGCAGGAGGGAGGGAGTTCATTTTTGAAGAGGTAACACAGGAGCTGGGTACCCTGTTCAAAAGCACATTCTGTGTGGAGTGAGGCTCCCTTCTCCAGGCACTGCTTCCCTCAAAGGCAAGCCAACATTTTTTTTTAGTGTTGTCTTCCTCCCTTTTAAAAAAATTTATGAGCATCCTTATTTTAAAACATTTATTTTTATTTTATGTGTATGTGTGTGCGCCCAAGTGTATGCATGTGCACTACCTACAGAGGACAGAAGAGGCGTTTCAGATGGTTGTGAGCTGCATCTCACCATGTGGGTGTTCGGAGTTGAACCGAGGTCCTCTGCAAGAGCAACTGGTGCTCTTAACCACTGAGCCATCTCTCCAGTCCTACACCAGCATTGTTTTTTTAAAGTCAGAGCCAACATTAAAACAGTAGAGGCTGGCTGGGGAGATGGGCTATTTTGTGAAATACCTGCTGAGCAAGTGTGAGAACCTGAGTTCAGATCCCAGAATCCACACCTGGGACAGTAGTAGGCACCTAGAACCCCAGGACTGGAAGCCAGGCAAATCCCTGAAGCTTGCTGGCTAGCCAGGCCTGTCAAATCTGAGTTTCAAGATTAGTGAGAGACCCTGTCTCAAAAAATAAGGTGGAGATCAGTCGAGGAAGACACCCAACTTTCAATACACATATACTCACCCACACTAACAAGTATATACATCACACACACATGCAAATAATATATAATTGATAATAATAATAGTGATGGAAAGTTACCCAGCTTATCTATCCAAATCAAACTGGGAGGGTGTGGTAGCACATGCCTGTAATCCCAGCACTTGGGAAGTGGAATCAGGAGGATCAGAAGTTCAAGACTGGGCCACTAGATGGCTCCATGGGTAAAGGCATTTGCCACTAAGCCTTAGAACCTGAGTTTGATTCCATAACCTAGTGGTAGAAGGAAAGACTCAATTCCCAGAAAGTGTCCTCTATCTCCACATGCATGCCATAGAAAACACACACACACACACTAATATAAGTAAAGAGGCTCAACACCCCCCCCCCACCCCCCCCCCCACCCCCCCCCACCCACCCCCCCCCCCCCCCCCACCCACCCCCCCGCCTGGAGTGAGGCCAGCGTGGGGGTAAGGGCAGTTGCTTCCCCTCACCATCTTACCATTCCTGTTGACTCCCTGGAGACAAAGCAGAGTGTTATTGTCATACATGTGCTGGTGTTTTCTCTAAAAAGTGAGAGCCTGTATGTTCCAGCCTTTGGCCTGTAGACAGCAGAGAACAGCTGTGTGCTAGTCATCCTACATTCAAGTAGGTACAGTGAGTTCTGGGGTCAGGACAGAGAGAAGTCGTGGCAGAAAACCTCTGGGGAGTTTTTGAATTGGATGATACTTGTTGAGAGAGGCAGTCTCCTGAGTCTAAAGCCAGTTGTCATCTTACATTTGCGTTGGGTGTTAGGTCACCCTTTACATGATCGGCAATAATCCTGTGTTTTTGAGACAGGATTTATATGTATATGTATAAAAGGAGATAATGTATTTGTGAACATGTATATGAGTATAAAGACATCTGATACAAGTAGACCTTGTCTTGGGGCGAGAACTAGGTGACTCAGGCTGAAGTGGGATTGAAACACACTTCTCACTATGTACCCTTAGCTCTTTTATTGTTTATTTGCTTATTTGCTTGTTTGTTTGTTTGTTTGTTTGTTTGAGACAGGGTCTCTCTACATATCCCTGACTGTGCTGGATCTTACTATGTAGACCAGGCTGTCCTTGAATTCACAGAGATCAGCCTGCCTCTGCTTCCCAAGTTCTGGGATTAAAGACATACACCACCATCGCCCGGCTATTTAGAGCTCTTTTAAAATGTGTATGGTGTTTGTATTATCTAGTTCAAGGTCATTTTTTTTTTTTTTTTTTTTTTTTTTGGTTTTTCGAGACAGGGTTTCTCTGTGTAGCTTTGCACCTTTCCTGGAACTCACTTGGTAGTTCAGGCTGGCCTCGAACTCACAGAGATCTGCCTGGCTCTGCCTCCCAAGTGCTGGGATTAAAGGCGTGCGCCACCAACCACCTGGCTTCAAGGTCATTTTTTAAGTAAGTATATTAATGAAAGTTCTACCACCATAAACCCTTTCTACCATAATGGCAAATTGATATTAACTCAGAGGGTGAATAATTCAAGTCACGGTCTATTTATCATCTCCCAAGTTCTAGTTAATGTGTTGTTAGAAATCTCAGAATGCATTGCTCTCTTTTAGAATAACTGTCTTAAATGACATTTTGATTTCATGACTGTGTCAAAGTCCAAAGAAACCAGAGTCTAACTAAATGCCAGCCTGTTAACCTGAGTTGTCATTTCTATCCCTCGGACAGGGGCATGGCACTACTGGCTTCTACTCAGGAAGCCACAGTTCACTTCAGCAGCCTTTCCAGTAGGCGTTTCCCTCTACGCCAGCCAGAAGGCCAGAGGCCTGGGGTGTGAGCTCCTGATATGGGGATAGACTTGGCTTAAATATCAGTCAGGAGCATAGGCGGAGAGAGTGGGTCCAGATGAGCATGGAGTTGGAGTGTGTTAGAGTGGGTTAGTAACCATCCTGGGTCAAATCCAAACACCAGCAGCTGAATGTATTTTAGACCTGTTACATAATCTCTATCCCAAGTCCTTTATGTGCTAAGTTGGGATAACATAGTACCTTCCTCACAGAATTAGATGCATGGTGAACCCTTTTTAAGTGTTCAACACAATGATTGCATGCAGTAAGTACTTAATTTTTGTGGGAGTTTTGAGTTTGTTGTTTGCTTCTCATTTAAAGAAAATCCTGTAGAATTGTCAAAGAACCTGGAAGCTGTCATTGTACCCTTTCTTACTTTTCTCTTATCTCTTCCCTTCCTGAAGTAACTGCTGTTCTGCAGTTGTGTGCTCAGTAGCATCGGCCTGACTTTGCAAGGAGACACCCCATTCACAGCTGCTCTCCCTCTGCCCCACTTTCTCATTGATCAGGTGGTGACCTACGCCCCGTTCACGCTCTTCCCCTCACTAGTGCCTAGTGCTCTGCTGGAGCAGGCCTATGCTGTGCAGATGGATTTCAACATGCTGGTGGATGCTGTCAGCCAAAACTCGACCTTCCTGGAGCAAACTCTGTCTAGGTACTGAGTGCTAAGGCCTCTGGGGCCAGAGGTGCCAAAAGCTTGGAATGGGAAGGTTGGGGAGCCAAGAGTTGTTGCTGTGTTAGCTAACTTGGTGGAGTGGGGAGCAGGCACCCCTCCGGGGAAATAAAAAATAGAAGAGAAGTAAGGAGAGCTGTCTTCTACTCCTGGCTCTACTGCCCTTTGTATGATAAGCAAAAGGAAAGTCCTTCTTCTCTGAGCCTTAGTTTCTTAATCTAGAAAATGAGGTTGGCTGAGACCCAAGGTTGCTATGATTCTGTGATCAGTGGCCCCCTGCTTCTCATGACAGAAATCTCCACTGAGAGAGAGGGCTAGAGAGATGGCTCAGTGGTTAAGAACTCTGGCTGCTGCAGCAGACGATCAGGGTTCAGTTCCCAGCACCTACATGGTGGCTCACAGCTTTCCATAAGCCCAGTTCCAGGGATCTAGCACCCACTTCTGGCCTCCTTGGGCACTAGACAAAGTGTAGTTACACACACACACACACACACACACACACACACACACACACACACACGTGAAACATTCATACACTGAAATAAAATAAAAGTAAGTCTTTCAAAGGTCCCCATTTGGAATTATGGAAAACAATCTGGTTTGGGAAGAAAAGAGTTTAGGGAGTTGTTGGGTTTTAAAGTCAGATTTCAACTTCTAAGCAAAGGCCCTTCTTTCTTCATCCCACCATTAGAAGGATGTGTTTAATTTTTTAAATGACTTTTTCTTGTCACCTAAAGCCTCATATCTTTGGGTAGGACAAAATGCAGACTGAGCCATACCCAAGATCCAAGTAGGTAGTCATTCCCTTGCCTTTTCTCGCTAGATCCTCTCCTCCCACTTCAGGTCCTAAGGCAAGTGAAATTTCTTGGTTAATTTTGGAATTAAGTATAAATTGCTGATTTTAGAATTGACTATATATATAAATGCTTTATATGTGTGCTATATGTGTATAACTGTGTATCTATGATTAAGTTTTCAATGGAAAACTAGATTATTTTGTTAGAGACCAAATCTTTCTCAGATGTGTGCTCTTTGGTAACAGGTTGAATGTGAGAAGGAATAATAATCATATGAAGTTTGGAAACCATTGCCTTGGAACCAACAATCCAGGGGTTCATGAATATGTGAACCCTGTTACCACCCTCTTTCTCTCGATGGGCTTGCTTATGCTCACTACAAGCAGCCAGGTTTAGTTCCTTTACACTTGACAATGTGATTATGTGGGAGACCTGCTCCGAAGCCCATCTCAGTAATTCAACCTTCCCTGTTCCTCTCTGTATACATACCACCACCACCCCCTCAAGGGAAAACAGTAGCCTAGAGCCTGGGGTTGATAGGTATCTCTTTTTCAGAGAAGAGAAAATGTGTTCTACTTTTCTTGGAGGCTGAGGCCCAGCTGGGGACACTCCTCTCCTCACCGAGGGCTAAGCAAGGCCCCAGTGAAAGAACTCATCCTCTAGAGAGCCTTCAAGACAGCTACTTGCCTGCCCCACACTGCTCCACCACAAACTTCTGTAACTAGGTCAGCCTACGGGCCTTGCCTGGCTGGACACAGAGTTTGCCCTGAATCTTGAGAAGCAACAACGTGGTGTTAAGGACTTGTGGACTCCTCCTTGCTGGACTTCTTCCTAAGGCTCCCGAAAACCCTTCTGGATGAGCCCCTAGCACGTCACATGCCACAGCAGCACACTCGGCTGAGATGATGAGCCCATTTAGATCCAGCCCCACCTGTTTGTGGTCTCTAGCCCAACAGGAGAGATGACATTAGTTGCCATATAATAAAGTGACAACTGCATCTTCAGTCAGCTCTGTAAAGGAGACATTCACAGTGCTGTGGGAGCACCTAGAAAGGAATCTGACACAGATAGCGAGGCTTCTCCAAGGAAGTGGTATCACGTGAGGGTAAACCTACAAAAGAAACCAGGATATGTACCTTGGGCCTGAAAAACCTGCAGGCCTACAGCAAACTGCCCTGGAGGAGGAGGAGGAGGAGGAGGGAGAGGAGGAGGAGGAGGAGGAGGAGGAGGAGGAGGAGGAGGAGGAGGAAACTTGCCTGGGAGGTGACCAGAGTGCAGGGGGAGCTCTGGAGAGTTAACTTGAGGTCAGCCAGAAAACGTATCAGCCATCAGTTATTCAAGATGTTTGAATTTTTAAAGACCATGCTGTCGTTTACTCTTCCCCACAAGCCTATTTTATAAGCAACTGTTTTCCTCCTCACTTCACAGTTGAACAAACTAAGATACAGAGAGGAGATAGGATTCACTGAGATTGCTCACAGTGTCTGGTAGAGCTTGGATCTGAACCCAGGTCATCTGGCTCTAGAGTAGATTATTAGGCACTATTTTCTGCTAGGTTGGAATGGGTATTGACGACCCAGAAATCATCTAGAGGTGGGTGGGTAGGGGTGGGTAGGGGTGGGACTCATGGCCTGTAGGGTCTTGTGTAGCCTGAAATGTTCTTTTCTTCTCTAGCACCATCAAAAAGGACGACTATACGGCCCGTCTCTTTGATATCTACAAGCAAGTCCTGAAAGAGGGCATTGCCCAGGTACCCATTCCTAGCCCTTCCTTTGTCTGGAACTTGTCTCTTTGCTCTCTGGTATTTTGTTTTTGTTTTGTTTTGACTAGAACAATTGGCCTCAGTCTTTCCTTGTAAGAATCTCCCTTGGACTGGTCTCAACTGGGCCTCCATACAGGGACCAGTCCGGGGATGATAGAATGAATCCTCTGGGTTTGGGAGTATTGGTATTGGTATTTGGGAGTATTGGTCCTCCTTAGCTCTACAGAGTGCGATGTGGCTAGACCTCCAGAGCAGCCCCCGGGCCCGTGTCCTCAGCCTTCAGTTTTCTCCACAGACTGTGTTCCTGGGCCTGAATCGCTCAGATTACATGTTCCAGTGCAGCACAGATGGTTCCACGGCCCTGAAACAGATCGAAATCAACACGATCTCTGCCAGCTTTGCGGGCCTGGCCTCCCGAACTCCTGCTGTGCACCGGTGGGTTCCCAGGGCAGCTGTGGAGCACATTGTGGGGAAGAGTTCAATGGACGGATAGTCACTGGCTAAGCCAAGGATCTCCTTCTGTGACTGTACCTTCCTGGGCCCTGAATCATGGTTTCTCCATGCCTCCATCTTCTCCCCATAGCAGTTTTCTACTTGAAATCAGATGTCTTCTATGCCAGACAAAGAAGAGACCTCATAGCATAGTAGTCCCTCCTCTCTCTGTACAAATTAACCCTCCAGGCTGAGAGAATGATGCCTTCAAGAGGCCTCTGATGTATCTGAGGCCTGAAAGCAGTTCTGAATCCAAAGCAGAGGGGAATTCAGAAACTCCCGTCTGAGAGCTGGGCCACAGTAGTGGTTTCTTGGCCATCATGCTCACTACAGTTCCATATGGTCTGCAGCAGGATTCCATATAGCACCTGGGAGCCCAAGGTGAGGGGCTCCAGCTCCCTTAGAAACTGAGTTGGTTTAGAGTGGCCACACGGGGGTCTCGGGACTCCTCTGGGCATGTACATCTAGGTATGGACGGCTCAGCATATCCCAGCTGTGGTGTGTCCTCCAGGAATGGTGGTAAGGAGCCTTTAAGCACTTGGCTGATTTTCAGAGTAATGTTCCTATATGTATCTGTGAGGTCATGGGCAGAAGGGTATCCTGGTCCATCCAATTACTCAGCAGCTATCTTTCTTCCAACAGACATGTTCTCAACGTCCTGCAAAAGACCAAAGAAGCTGCCAAGATCCTCTCCAATAATCCCAGCAAGGGACTAGCCCTGGGGATCGCCAAAGCCTGGGAACTCTATGGCTCAGCTAAGTAAGAATGTGGAAAGATGGTAGTAGTATCTCACTTTAGTGTCAGCATTCAAGGGTGGGGCAGCTTCTCCTTTGCTAGACATCAGTAGGGGAAGGGGTGTTTCTAGGAATAGAAACTTACACATTTAAGTGCCAAAAATATATTAGTGGAGTTCTGGGTTCCTTCTAAAATAAGAGATGCTAACTCTCACGTAGTGTTCCCTTGTGGCGTGGGGTTCATCGTGATGATGGACAGTGATTGCATGTTGCTGTAACACACTGGTGCCACACTAGCTAGGGTTAGAAGCGCCTGTGCTGCTGGCTTTAAGTTCCTGTCCATTAGCTCTGTGACGCTGGCCTCTTCACCATCCACTTCTACATTTACTGCTGTCAGTGTGCCTGCAATAGAACTCCTCTGCTGCTATCCCTCTGCCTCCCACCTTGTGATTTGGGGAAACACAGGGATCCTGGTTGTTATGATCATGTGTAAGAGGCGTGAGGACCTTCTTCAGTGAGGTCAGGTTTGATCTGGGAATTTCATGGTGTCCATTTTAACTGCTTAGAAGTGTTTTCTTTGCTTTCTTCCTGTTTCTCAACCATGTTCCAGATGTGTGAAGATGCTAGGTAAGTGACTTGCAGATAGCTGAGAGGCCACTGCTAGCAGCTGCGCAGTGTGAGCACAGCCCACCTGTGCCGAGTGTTTCCACCCAGGGTCTCTCTGAGCTCTCAGAGCGAGCGCTCTGAGGTGGTGCTGGTCCTCTTCCCGTTCTACAGATCAGGAAACTGAGGTTCAGAGAGGCACAGTGACTTGCTCGAAGGCAGTTGGTGAGTTGGTAGTAGGACCCGGTGCTAAGCTCCTGGAACCTGCATATGTAATGGTACTGTTGCCTCCAAGTGAGCCTTTCTAGGCTTGCTAAGCTTCACTCAGTTCCAGGAAGCCTCAAGTTCTGAGCATTTACAAGGTGGACAAACAGTATGTCAAGTAGAATCCTCTGCCAAGTTCCATTTTAAGAAAGTGAAGTCAGGGGATGGGGTCACCTGAGAAACTGCCAGTGACAAACGCCGCAGAGGAAGTCTCTCGCCAGGCCAAGGGTAATGTGGGGAGGAAACACTCACATGCCCTGAGTTAGGCACTGGTGGGTAAAAGCTTTGTGGCCCCTGAGCAGGCACTGGCTTTACCCGCTGTCAGAGTGGGTAAGGCTCGTCTCCTGAGCAAGCATATAACCTTGGCACGTCTTTTCTCTGAGATTTGTTTTTGTCTTGAGCTGGGCATGGTGTTATACACCTTTAATCTCAGCACTCAGAAGGCAGAGGCAGGTGGGTCTCTGAGTTCAAGGCCAGCTTAGTCTACATAGCAAGTTCCAGGTTAGCCAACTCTATGTATCAAGATCCTTTCTCAAAAAACAAAACCACACCTGTAATTCCTGTACTCAGGAAGCTGAGATAGGAGGGTGGCCTTTTAGTTCAAGGCCAGTCTGAGCTATATAGTGAGTCTTGTACCAGGAATATATAGCAAGACTCTGCCTCAAAAAAAAAAAGTTTTTAAGAAAAGAAATCTGAGAATTAAATTATAATTTTGTTTGCTTTTTAAAGAACTTTTTTGGTCATGCTGAGGATCAAATCTAGGGCCTTGTGTGTGCCAGGAGAGTACTCTACCACACAGCTGTCTCCCCAGTCTTGTTTGCTTTTGAGACAGGGTCTTGTTACATAGCCTCCACTGGCCTTGAACTCATGACAATCCTTCTGCTCTAGCCTCCCAAGTAGGGAGTTATATACACGCACCACCAGTCCTGGTTATAAAATTGTGATTTCAGTGGGCCTGGAGAGTTGGTTCACAGTTAAGAGCATATATTGCTCTTTCAAAGGACCTGAGTTCAATTCCCATATGGGTTGCTCACAACATTCTATAAAATTATGATTTCAGTTAAACAAATGCATTCAAAACACAGGGCCTAGGGTCGGAGAGATGCTGAGAGGCTAAGAGTGCTTCCTGATCTTCCAGAGGACCGAGTCTGACCCCCAGCTCCTACACGGGGTCTCTTACAACCACCTATAGCTCTAGCTCCAGGGAATCGGATGCCCTCTTTGGCCTCTGAGGGCACCTGCATGTACGTGGCATGCAACCACACAGTCATGCATGCATAAATAAATTAAATCTTTAAGACAACAACAGTAAAATACAGGGCCCATAGTTAGAATGAGTAGAAGAAGGATGATTATTGATATTAAAAGATTGGGACATATGATCTGATTAACACTTCTATTTCATAAATGAGACAAGGCTCAGAGAAGGAAGTTGACTGACCTGCTCAAGGACACCACAAGTCATTGGCAGAGCCAGGACTAGGATTGTTGGGTCCTCTCTCCCAGCCTGCGTGCTATTTCCAGTTCACCTTCCTCAACTGACAGCTTTCCAAGTCCACTTTGTCCAGATTTCTCAGAACTGAAGGCAATAGGAGGTAGAGTGTGTTTTCTGAGTCTGGCTCCTATTGTTTGGCAAGTGGAAAGGCTGGCTTAATTAGCCAGTGTATGAAATTCCATTTCAGCCTCCAGCCTCCAGGCTTCCTCCTTTGCCTCTTCTTGGAGGTGAGCCATCCTGGGCCAGGTGCCACCCTACCCACCCACCCCAAACACCTACCCATGAGCAGAGTGTTTCAGGATACAAAATGAAGACCAAGACCTTTGGCCCTTGGGCCTCTCAAGGCAAGATGACTTCTGAGAAACTATTTCCACTTTGTATTGCAGATCCCAGCTTAAGTCAGTTTTCAGTTTAAATGTCCTATCTGTCCTCTTGACTTGAGGCAGGCTAGAAGAGTATTTAGCCAAGTAGAAAGAAGTCAAGTGAACACAGTTTCGACTAAGAAGTTCAGCTAAGGTTGGAAAAAGCAGAGATAGATAAGAGGTCAGTACAGAATCTATGCCTAGAGTACTAAGCCAAAGTCTGGACTTCCAGGGGTTTGAGCAAGAGGCCATGGGTACAAAACAGAGCAGCTATAGCAGAAAGGGAGTTTGGTACTATAAAACACCGGCCTTATGAGTCTAGTTGAGAGAGGGAAGAGCCTGTGTTTAACACTGAGAATATCTCAACTGGTATAAGCTTTTTCCTGAGTGTTCAAGCCCCTGCTTCTTTAAGAAACCTGTGGATAAACAGAGAGGAGCAGGCTCAGTAAGCGTTAGTGATCCCATTAATACTGAGACCAAATGTGGCCCTGTGGACATCACAGAACTGCTAAGAGGTCCCCAGAGATGATGTCTTGTTTGTAGTTGCCCCTGGAGAGTTCCATTTAGTTCTTTTTTTTTTTCACGTAAGAACTCCACTCTTGGATCATATCCTTTATTGTCTGATAATGGAGTCATTAGTATCTGACCCCAGCATTGTTGTTGATTTACAAGACATCCCTCAGTGTTTATTTTCCCAGACAGATTTTTGAATCACCGTATCACTGTGTTAGGTTTTCTGTTGTTTATTAAGATAGGGTTTCATGTAGCCCAGGCCAGTTTTGTCTTGTTTGTTTTTGTTTTTCAAAACAAAAGTTTGGGTTTTTTGTTGTTGTTTTTTTGTTTTTTCTGGGTAGCCCTGGCTGTCCTGGAACTCACTCTATAGACCAGGCTAGCCTCTAACTCAAGGAGGCCTGCCTCTGCCTCCTGAGTGCTGGGATTAAAGCCATGTTCCACTACTGGCCCAGGCCAGTCTTAAACCCCTGGTTATCTTGCCTTTACTACCTGAGTGCTGGGATCACAAGAGTGTGCCATCATACATGGCTCAAGATGTCTTCTAGGGCAAAAAGTGGGTAAGGATAGATGGTTTTAAGTCTAAATTTTAAGTTGTATGATATTTGCTATCATTACAATATCTCATCTCCTACTAGAGAACAGACAAGAGATGCCTACCCCACAAGTTTCCTGTTTGTAAGAAATGTGTTGTTGCCTCAGACAGTCCTAATTTGAGGCAGCATCTGTTCTTGCAGGGAAGCTGTATTCTGTCTCTTGTCTGTCTGTCTGTCGGTTTTGTGTGTACATGCCTGTGGAGGCCAAGTCAATGTCTAGTGTCTTCTTCAATCTCTCTCCATTGTAGTTTTGAGACAGTCTCTCACTGAACTTGGAGCTTACCAGTTTGCCTGGATTGCCTTGCCCGCAAGCCCCAGAGATCCTCCTGCCCCTGCTTCCCCAGTGATGGGATGACAGACATACTGCCTAGCTTTTTTTTTTTTTTCAAGTGGGTTCTGGAGCTCAAACTCGGGTCCTTATGCTTGCTTGGCAAGCATTTGACTGACCCAGTCACCTTCTCAGTCCCTCCTTTCTGTTTTGACACAGGGTCTTGCTTTGTAGCCCAGACTGGCCTCAAATTAACCATCTTCTTGGCCCCGCCCCCACCCCCACCCCGAGTGTGGGGATTACAGCCTGCATCAGCAGGACTGCTTGAGACACTGTGTTCTTACCTCATCTGAAGGGAGTGGCAGGAGGGACAAGCCCTGTAGCAGCCTTGCTCACTTCTGCTCTTTCTCCAGTGCTGTGGTGCTACTGATCGCTCAAGAGAAAGAAAGGAACATATTTGACCAGCGTGCCATAGAGAATGAGCTGCTGGACAGGCAAGTGAAGGGAGAGACCTTCAGGTGTGGCCCCAAGTGGGAAGGCCATTCCAAACACCACACCCACTATCTCTGATTCTCACCTTTCTTTCCCAGGAACATCCATGTAATCCGACGAAGATTTGAAGATGTTTCTGAAAGGGGTTCCCTAGACCAAAACCGAAGGTTGTTTGTGTAAGCATCCCCAAGGAGCCACTAGACAGCTGGATTAAGAACCTCTCTTGGTAGCTCCTATCACTCAAGAGCTTTTCTTCTGGGAATTATGATAGCTTGTTTTCTTTTCTCCTAATTTCTGAAATACCTCATCCTTCCAGGAAATTTTAGAAATGTCTAGCCATGCTCTGCTTCTAACAGGATATATCAGAGCTGTTGACCTTCTGGATAAGGGTATCATCCTTAAAGATAACCTTGGTTTTCATGTAGAACTCTGAGGTTCTAAAAATTTTCTTGCCTCTCTTTGTGGCTAGTCAAGACAGGCCTGAGCAGTTGGGCTGGGCAGGCAGGGGTGCAGGCTCATTCTTACCCATGTGGTTGCTACTCTGGTCTATAGCCTCAATTTGTCTTCTAAACCAGGCCCTATTTTTCCCATGGGCCATCACACTGTAGCTTTAGTACGACATACTTGGGTAGCACTGCAGCTTACATAGTTAGACCTAGTCAGGGCTGGGCATGGTGGCACATGCCTTTAGTTTCAGCACTCTGGAGACAGAGGCAGGCAGATCTCTGAGTTCTAAGCCAGACTGGTTTACATAGAAAGTTCCAGAAACATAGAAAGCTACATAGTGAGACCCTGTCTAAAAACAAAAGGTAGCCAGGAGTGATGGCACACATTTGTAATCCTAGCACTTGAGAAGTGGAGGCAGGAAGATCAGGTGTTCTGGGTCATTCTCAAGTATAAAGTGAGCTCAAGGTCATCCTGGGATATAAGAAGCCCTGTCTCAAAAAACAAAGTAACAAAAAAGTTAAGAGCCTTTATGGACTTTCATAATCCCACTTCAGATATTTCAAAATGTGCTGTTATCATAATAAAACAAAGTAGCTGGTTTACTTTTTAGATAAACTAGATAACATGAACTAGGGAAAGGGGAAGAACTTACCTTAATTAGAGTCAGGTTTTTGCACATCCCCACCACTGGTTTTAGAGATCTTAGACTGTCTGGTTTCTGCTACTTTAAGCCATAGAAATAAGAAATTTAGTTCTGTTTTGCTGATCATAGCAGTATGATTCCTCCACCCCAAATTTTGGATACATGTGTTTTTAATTTTACCTATGCTAACCTCCTTGTTTCCCTGTAGCCTTCTTAAAATGAATTTAGGTCCAGAATATTCTAAAGCATTGTGTGTTGCACACCTGTTTTTAACAGAAGTGCTAAGTTTCTGCTTTCACCAATTCTAGTGAACTCCTGCCCCAGGCTTGCCTTATGGACTGCCACATGTACTCTGATGTATCCTGAAATAGACTGAACCACTGAACACATCAGTAATAATTTCATTCAGAAGGTTTTTTCATCCTGTGTTACAGGGATGGCCAGGAAGTTGCTGTGGTTTACTTCCGAGATGGCTACATGCCCAGTCAGTATAATCCACAGGTTGGTATTTTCTATTAGACCATTCTCTCCCTCCAGGGACCTACCAGAGCGCCACCAAAACCCAGCTCAAGCATCATAACTCTGCTTCACCTCTTGCTCAGGGCACTGCTGCTGGAAATGCCTTTCTTCTTGCAAGTGTTTTGTTACCTTTCACTCTACAGGGTCTTTAGGACCTCAGGAATCTACCTGTAGTGTTTCAGCTGTTCACACATTGTCTGGAGATATGTTGGTGAATGAACATCTTTCTAAGAGGAAGACCCCCAATTTATAGCATTGCTGACTTCCATGGTGTGATTTTGAGCTGCCCAATTTAGCAGCTCTGAACAAAGATCTGGGGAGAGTAGATCCAGTCAGCCCTCACTAGCTGATGCAAGAGTTCCAGGCCACCCTCCCACCTGCCTTTGTTTGTTCTTTTCTGTGGCTTTTTCTTTGGGTAGGGAGGAGCAAGGTCTTCCTTTGTAGCCCAGGCTGACCTGAAGCTCTATGTAGCCTCAATGAGTCGCAATCTCCTGCCTCAGCCTTCCAAGTACTGACAGTCCAGGCATGAGTCATCATGCCCAGCTCCATTTTATTTTCCTTATTTCTCCTTTATTTGAATCAGAAAGGTTTTTTGTTTGTTTGTTTTATCATGTTCTCATTTATGTTCATGGCAATCCTGATATTACCTCATCCCGCTAACTGCTATGTAGTTTCAAAAATTACTTTCTACACATTTTATTTAACTCTTACAACCATCCTGTGAGACTTATTATTATCCCCATTACACAGGTGAGGAAACTAAGGTTTGGAGCCATGCAGAGGCTTGTCTAAAATCCCACAAGAATTTCCCAGGATTTCTGACTCTCAGACCATTGCATTCTGAATATGCTGTTCTTCTCGCTGCTGTTAGTATCTATATCATGGAGGAAAGGCTGAACAGCCCTGCTTTCATGGATTTAAAAGAAAGAAAGAAAGAAAGAAAGAAAGAAAGAAAGAAAGAAAGAAAGGAAGGAAGGAAGGAAGGAAGGAAGGAAGGAAGGAAGAAAGGAAGAAAAGAAAGGAAGAAAGAAGGCCTGGGGAGAGGGTCAGCAGTTAAGAGCACTTACTGCTTTTGTAGAGGACCCAGGTTTAGTTCTCAACCACATGGCAGTGTATAACCATCTGTAACTCCAGTTCCAGGAGATCCAGTGGCCTCTTCTGGCCTCCACAGGCACCAGGCACACACACAGTACACATACATGCATGCAGAAAACACTCACATACATAAGATAAAAATAAATCTTTTTTACGATACCCTGGGTGGCGAGCTGAGAGTCATGACTATGAGTCGCTTTCCCACCCGTCCAGGCTCTCAGCTACACATGAAAATGAAGGGACCTGTGAGATTTATATTCACTTAGAGTTCCTTGGGACTGAGCTCTACAGGGTGCTGCTCTTCCGAAGGACAGCTTTAGGGAACGTCCTTTTGACCAGAGAAGTGGTTAGAGTGCTGGAGAAGGAAAACAGACCCGAGTTTCAGGACAGGGAGGCAGAGGAGAAGAGAGTGCGCTAAGGAAGGAAGTGGTATGCACGGAGCCGCTCACCTATGCTTAGAACGTGGACACAGAGCTTCAAGGCTTTGTGACTTGTTAGAGGACTCTTGTGTTTGGTTTTGCTTTCTCTGTGAGATGTTTTTCTAGTCTTATGTTCTGGACCTCTATGACTGCCCAGAACACCAGACCAGTAGTTCAATGACTGATGAAGATCAGGTAAAGCTGCTCCAGTGGACAGCACTGGGGAGGGGGCAGGATATATGCTTTAGGCCCTAGCCTTGCTCCAGCTGTGGACAGGAGTCTGTAATCTGGACAAAGGCGGTTTTCTACCCAGTGCCTGAGAATGGGGACCAGAGCTCAGAGGCATGATCCTCTGGTGTTTCCCTGTCTCTTGTATCCTAAGCTCCTAACACAAGACTATTCACCCTGTGATTAGCCAGCTGCAGGCCTTTGTTCACATGATCCTGTTTACCTGAGGACCCACTCTCCGGTGAGTTTCACCTGTCAGACTGCCTATTGTCGGGGACTTACTCCCATTTCACTTCCCTGAGCAACAATAACAGATACTGAGCACCTATGGAGTGTCAGAACCCGCTGTTCTGTGGGGACATAACAGGAAACAAGGCAGACACTGAGGGTCTGGTTCTCATGGTGAATACACTGCCTGGTCAGGGAGGTGAGCACAGGAAGAAAAACAATGGACAAATGGTTTTTGAGTTTTGATTTTGCTATGTTTATTGAGACAGACTCATATTCTATAGCCCAGGCTGCCCCTGGAACTCATTATTGTAACTGACCTGCTTTGTGCTCAGGACCCTACAAATATATAATACTGTATCCAGCTTGAGGGGGGATCCCTAGTTGAGAGGTAATTGGCTTTGACTGAAAGAACAGGATGAAAAGATAGATGGACTTTATTTGATAAAAGGCTGAAGATTATATGGTTAACCAGATTTTGAAGTGTTGGATTTTATTTGGAGCACAATGAGAAGCTAAGTATATAACCAAGAGTCCCATGCTCTTCAAACCTTATCCAGCCAGGTGTGGTGGCACATGCTATAATCCTGGCACTCAGGAAGCTGGGGCAGGACAACTGCAAGCCCTGGCCAGCCTGGGTTCCATAACCAGATCCTGTTTAAAATGACAACTCTCCTAGTACTCCGAAGGCTGAGAGGTAGGACAGCCCAGGATATCTAGGGAGTTACAGGCCAGCCTGGCTACTGAGACTGTCTCAAAAGATAGAATGAGTGAAGGAGAGAGAGAGAGATGGGGGAGAAAAACTCATCAATTTTTCTATACTCTTACAAAATGTCTTTTCTGCTGGATGTGGTGGCGCACGCCTTTAATCCCAGCACTAAGGAGACAGAGCAGGTGGATCTCTGTGAATCTGAGGCCAGCCTGTTCTACATAGCACAGTGAGACCCTGTCCCTCATACCCAAAGACATTTCCTTGCTAGTAATTTTCCATTTAATTATGAACTTGTATTAGTTTGCTAGATCACAAACTCCCTAAAGGCAAGAATCCCACAGACTGAGAGGCCATATCTGCCTCACACGGATGTTGTAACGATAATCAGCTTGAAGATTAAAAGGCACAGTGTCTGGCACCTATCCAGTAAAGTAAAGGCCCTTTGGTTTTATTACCTCCGCAGAACTGGGAAGCACGCCTACTGCTAGAGAGATCATGTGCTGCCAAGTGTCCAGACATTGCCACACAGCTGGCTGGGACTAAGAAGGTGCAGCAGGAACTGAGCAGGGTGGGCCTGCTGGAAATGCTGCTCCCAGGCCAGCCTGAGGCTGTGGCCCGCCTCCGGGCCACCTTTGCTGGCCTCTATTCACTGGACATGGTATGTAGTGTTTTTTCCTGCCATAGGCCACATAGCAGAAACCTGGATCCAAATGTGTTGGGGAGGGTACAGTGCAGCTGGCATTATGACTTACATCCTTGGTGCTCTGGAGAACCCTTGAGGCCAGAATCTGGGGACTAAAACCCATTCCCTCAGCAATGATTATGATAAGGATGGAAACCTAGGGAAATGTCTAAGGAGAGTGGGGAGAATTAGGGAACATCTGTATCTACTCTCCAGGCTTTCTGCAGAGTTCTAAAGAGCCTGTTCTATGTTTAGTGCTGCAAGGGAGTTAAGGGTCACATCCAGATTGGAGTGTCTAGCCTGATGCCATTTACGATGATTTCCCCTGCTGTGTGTGCCCCACCTCCCACCCCCACCCCGCCATGCCACTGTGCATGAGTAGCAGAACCTCAGCTGTCTTGTTAGCCTGCATTCTAGTGACCACTTTCTGCCTCCTGTCAGGGTGAAGAAGGAGACCAGGCCATTGCTGAAGCCCTCGCTGCTCCTAGCCACTTTGTACTGAAGCCCCAGCGAGAGGGTGGAGGTAGGTGGATCTCCTTTGTAGAGCTGCCCAGTGAAGGACTGCAAGCTCTTGCCAGTGCTTATTGGCACTTGAGGTATGGATACAGTCCCAGGCTTAGTGGTTACAAGAGAAAGCAACACAGATCCCAGCATGGAGCATCTCCCAGCACCCTGGAACTGAGAATACAAGGGGATTGGATGAACTACACTGGAGAATTTGGACAATGGTAGTTTGAGGTGCCTATGGGTAGATTACAGAGAAACAGAATAGTGCACAGCCTATGGGTAGATTACAGAGAAACAGAATAGTGCACACTAGGAGGTCTAAGGGGATACCTGGCTGTATTCCTTCCTATTTGCTGTGAAACTTCTTGAGGGCAGGGATCATGTCTGCCGTACTGACTTGATTTTCCACTTGGGTCTTAAGGGATAGGTTGGAGTTTTCCAGGTAGAAAAGGAGAAAGATCATTCTAAACTGAAGACCACTTAAGCAAAAGCAGTGGGCCATGACCACATGGACTGGACTAGAGGTTAATGAGAAACTGGTGAGGCTAGAGTTGGAGATGGCAGGAATATGGGCTGGGAATATTATAAAGAGCACTGAAGCTGGGTGGCGGCAGTGGTGGCGCACACCTTTAATCCCAGCACTTGGGAGGCAGAGCCTGGCAGATCTCTGTGAGTTCAAGGCCAGCCTGATCTACAGAGCGAGTTCCTGGTCAGGCTCCAAAGCTACACAGAGAAACCCTGTCTTGAAAAAAAAAAGCAAACAAACAAAGAGCACTGAAAATATTTCAGGAAATTTGGGATTGGGGAGATGGCTCAGTCAATAAAGTACTTACTGTGCAAGCACTGGATCCCTACCCCCACATTAAAGCCAAGCATGATGGCAAGCATCTCTACCCCTAGGACGTGGGGGTGGAGGGCAGAGAAAGGCAGATCCTGGAGGCTCACTGGCTGGCCAGTCTAGCTGAAACAGTGGGCTCCAGATTCAGTGAGAGACCCTGCTCAAGAGATAAGGCAGAGAGCCACTGAAGAAGATCCCTCAATATTGGCCTCTGCTTCCACATGTATATGCATAACACACACAGATAGACACAAATGTATGTTACAAACTATTTTATCATAACTGAGGAAGGAAGCCATTAAAGTTTCAAGCAGGGAAAGGGCACATGAACTATCCAGGAACTTAGCAGTGATGAAAACTTGTAAAGCTAGTGCTTCAGCCTTTATTGCTTTATTGGACTGAGAGGAGATATTTGTGACAGAGACCGTGGAAGAAGGCTGATACCATTGTCAAGAAGACCCATGTAGGGGTCCAGGCTAGGGTTATAACAATACAGAGCACAGGTGGAGGCATTTCTGAGTTAGTAACATAGGTAACAGGGAGAGTGAACTTAAATAGGACTCAGGAATGCCTTTCATTTCATTAGCAGTAGGAAGATTCAGGAGAAGCAAGTTCTAGCAGCAACAAATTTCCATTTGGATGTGCTGAGTTTGCAGTACAGACCTGTGATACATGCTTCTGATTTCTAGAACAAAGAGCATGAATTTGGGAGTTAACTTATACAGTGCAGATGAAACCTTAGGAACAAAAGTGCATAGAGAATAGAGCAAGGGTAGAGAATGCCTAGAGAACCTCAACATCTTTGTGTATGTATGTGTGTGTGCACATGTGTGTGCATGTTCACATATGTGCATACATGTGGATGCCAGAGGTTGATATCCAGTGTCTTCTTCCTCTGTTGCCCTCCACTTTTTTTTTTTTAGATAGTCTGTCGCTGAACCTGGAACTCACCAACTAGCTAGACTAGCGGCTAGCCAGCAAGTTCTGGGGATTCACCTGTCTCCACCTTCCACTTCCCCAGCATGAGGAGAGAGTGTTACAGACACACACCCACACCTAGCTTAACGTGGGTGCTGGGGATCAGAATTCAGGTCTTTGTGCATGCATAACGAACACTTTACAGGCTGAGCCATCTCCCCAGGCCCAGAGAACCCCAACATTTAAGAGAAGGAAACAGTAAGATGGCTGAGGAGAAATGTCCATAGACGGGGCAAAGCAGGCAGAACAGTGTGGTGACAGGTGTGTTCACTTGTATAAGGGCTTTCTTGTTAAGGTGATCTTTCCTTCTCAGAAGCAGATATGCTCTGTGTGACTGGCCACTTTAATTGCAGGTAATAACCTGTATGGGGAAGAAATGGTGCAAGCACTGGAGCAGCTGAAGGACAGCGAGGAGAGGGCCTCCTACATCCTCATGGAGAAGATTGAACCTGAGCCTTTTGGGAACTGCCTGCTTCGGCCTGGCAGCCCTGCCCGAGTGGTCCAGTGCATCTCAGAACTGGGGATTTTTGGAGTCTATGTCAGGTAAGCCAGCCAGGAGCAGCTCTTTCTACTACTTCCCTACAAGAGTGCTAGCCGAGAAAGCCTAGAAGGAACCTTGAATAGAGCCGTGAGTCCTGGGCTGCAGTTTCAGTGCTGCCAGTTCCTAGTTTTCTTACCTGTTTCCTTGTCTGTTAAGTAAGGACCCAAGACTTGCCCAGAAAAGTGAATCCCAGAAAAGACATGCTTCACAGCTGTAAAAGACATCCTGTGTGGTGTGAGGAGAACTGAGAAAAGATGGTTGGCAAGAAGGAATAGGAGATGAAATGTTTGGGTCCAGCTCTAAACCATAGGGATTCCAGGGAAAGATGAGAGAGAGGAGGGTATTCAGTGGCTTTGAAATACTGAGGCTTCTGGATTTGGATTTGAAAAGTAAGAATCAAGAAGAAATCGGGCATGGTAGTGTATGCCTTTTGTCCCAGAACATAGGAGGCAGAGACAGGCAGATATCTATGAGTTAGAGGCCAGTGAGTTCCTGGACCGCCAAGGCTACATAGTGAGACCCTATTTCAAAGAAAGAAAGAAGAAAGAGAGAAAGGAAGAAAAAAGAAAAGAGGAAGACTTTATAATTGGTAAAGAAAAAGGCCCTAATGCAACTTCCTGTAAAATATTTCAGGGTCAGGGCAAGGTAAAGATGCTGCCATGCCCTCTACCACAGCCTTCCCCTCACAACAAACTTCCCCTCTAACCACTTGCAGCATTTTGCCTGCTACTCTCTCTATCGCTACTCCGACTATCACCACAGGTACCTTGAGTAATAGGAAATGTATAGCCCAGGACATAAATGTACACCTGAATCATGCTATATGCTTTTCTTGCTTTATTTAATCCATATGACCATCTTGTAATATAAGAGGTATTTCTCAATTTTAAATTAAGGACATTTTTAGGAAGCTTCAGGGCTTATAATTTCCAAGCTAGGATGCAACTCCAAATCTGATTCTAAAGTCCTAGCATTTCTTAAATGTAGCCCCTTCCAATCTGCCAGTTAGTCAGGTGGGACCAGAGAAGGGCCTAGTTTCCTAATGTTGTGTGTCTCCTGACCCCATTTCTACAGACAGGGAACAACACTTGTGATGAACAAGCATGTGGGGCATCTGCTTCGAACCAAAGCCATTGAACATGCAGACGGAGGTGTGGCAGCGGGAGTAGCAGTCCTGGACAACCCCTACCCTGTGTGAGGGCACACCTGACTTCACTCAAGAGACCTTCTACCCTGTACTTGGCATTCCTCTCCTAATTCCTGAGGGCTACTCCAGTCCCCACCTTAGGGAAGCTTGTCTCTTCCACAGACCTCCCGGGTCTTCAGGGAAGGGAAAATCCTGGGTACCTTCTCTCAGCCTTCCACCTGAGGACCAGAAAAGCTATGATTCCATTAGAAGAGTGCTGGAGGTCCCCAGATCTTGGAGTGTGGGGGAAGCTGCTTAAGGTAAAGGCCGTAGCCCTGCAGATCTTCATTACCCTCTCATGAACTTTGCCAGGGGGTTCTAGTGCCTGACTTGGGGTAGGACTAAGTGACAGGAGGAAGGGGCTAGAACAGCATAGACTTTCCCCAGCTCTGCCCTCAATAAAACAACAATGCTGATTCAACAATTCATTGTTTCATGTACCAAAGGGAGGGGGGCAGCCCATGGGAGGTAAATAGGCTGGAAAGGTGACTGGGTTGTACTGGGGATCTCACTGGTTTCAGATCCTGTGGATGAGACCCTCAAGTCCTAATCTTTAGTCACTTGCTAATGCTTCCAGAGGATTGTAGGGTCAAGGCAGGGTCCCAGGAAGAAGCACCGGATGTGACATCATACTTGTAAACTGGCTTCAATCACTCTTGCTTAGGGGCTTATCAGAGGTCTTGAGAGTGAAGCTTTACCTGGATCTGCCCAAACAAAGGGTTCTGGGGTAGTCTGGGGACTAGCAATGCTCTTCCCATCTGCCACATACATGAGAGCAGCTAATGAACACACAGATACCTAAAAAAAACCAATTCTCTTCTTGAGCTCATAAACTTTATTCCTACAACAGTGAGTCTTGGGCACAAAGAGTACAAGAAGAGTTTCACCTAAGAGCCCCTTGTGGGCAGGGTTCTGTTCTTGGGGCAGGACTAGGAACGTTAACTCCCTTGGTTCTAGGAACAGAGCATATCTTACTCTTTCAATGAAGCAGATGATACGAAAACCCTCTGGAGACTGAACCCACCTGCAGTCTCTAGAGCAAACAGGCAGACAGTGCTTCCATCTGGTAAGGAATTCAGACTCAGAACAGAAACAACAAAGAATTTAAAAAAATAATTATTCATAGACTCACAAACTGTCATTTCTAAAGGCTTGGGCTTGCCCAAGATAAGAAACTGGTGCTTTCCAGAAAGCTGAAAGGATTACTGCCCTGCTTCTGTCTAGGCCCTCACTTACACTCGGACTAGCTAACTGTGGTTGAGGATGTAGTGTTAAGTCTCCGTTCTGGGCTTGGAGACCTCTGGAGTCTAGGAGCATATCAGTCTGAGGTTGACCTGTGCCCTGTCTCTTCTACCTGGCAGTCTAGGAAACTCTCCCAAGCTTCAACCAAAGTGTCAACCAGTGTTGGCTCTTTATTCCTGGGCAGGGGGCAGGGTGGATGGGCAGAAGTTCGGAGAGCCACGCACAGGGAAATCCTGGACAAGAGTCTTGATCACTGGGTGGTCAGGCAGCGGTGACTGAAGAGATGATTGATGACGGATGGGTCAGCGACTGTAGACGTGTCCCCCAGGTCATGGTCATTCTGAGCAATCTTCCGGAGTACTCGCCTCATGATTTTGCCTGGTAACCCACACACCTCTTGTTACTTGGTAACAATGCTGACTGATCCCCGCTCTTTTAAGGACTTTCATCCACACACCTGCCACTACTGGGCTTTAGCCCATCCCAAACCCTGCAGGACTCTGAACTTACCTGAGCGTGTTTTAGGCAAGCCGGGTGCATTCTGGATGTAGTCTGGTGTGGCAATGGGGCCAATCTTTTCTCTAACTGTAACAACAAATCATCAAGCATTTCTTTAGTGCCTTTAACCAGACTTCTTAAAGCCATGACTTTGTTTCCCCGGCTGTTTCTTCTTCAGAGTTCTGCCTAGAGTCATTCTGAAGTTTACTGTTCCCTGTTCTCTTTTAACACACTGTCTCTTTACTCCTTTGTTTTATTTTAATCCATGGAACTCTGTTTAAATCAGACCTGGGCAGCATAGCCTTGAGCAAGCAGTGTAATTTCTCTGTATTTGAAGTTTCTTCATCTTTAGAACTAGCATAACAACAGGATCTATTTCGTGAAGGTAATTACAGGAATTAAATGGGATAAAGCATTTATTTTTTTATTTTTTTGGGGGGGGGTTTATTCGAGACAGGGTTTCTCTGTGTAGCTTTGCGCCTTTCCTGGAACTCACTTGGTAGCCCAGGCTGGCCTCGAACTCACAGAGATCCGCCTGGCTCTGCCTCCCGAGTGCTGGGATTAAAGGCGTGTGCCACCACCGCCCGGCGGGATAAAGCATTTAAAGCGCTGATCCTGGTGCTGACACAGAGAAAGTTTCCTGAAACTCTGGGCTATTACTGTCCCAGTGTAGAGACTAGTGGAGACTAAGTGGGAAGACACCAGTCGCCCCACAGGACACTGGAGTCTGTCTGTAGTCTGCTGTAGCCTCTCCCCAGTAACTTGCAGATCCTTACTCTGCTTCTTGAGTTCCTCGGTGAGGGTGGGGCTGAAGGTGTGGCCATCGCACAGGGTGACAAAACAGTAGAGGCATTCACCCTTCACAGGATGAGGGTGGCCCACCACAGCTGCCTCTGCAACAGCCTCATGCTCCACAAGTGCTGACTCCACCTCGGCTGTACTCAGAAGATGTCCTTGTCAAGAGAAGGGAAATGCATGAGAGGGATCTCAGCCTTCCTGCCACAGCTCTTGCTCCATCTGCACCCACATGGCTGACTTATTCTGGTCATATAGGGGAGGCTTTCACTCTCTCTTCCCATGGCACATCTCCAATCAAGTCCTGACCATCCTAGATCCTCTCCTGGCATGTTCTAACATGCATTATACTTTTCCTCCAAAACCTGGGCCCAGGACTGAATGCCATACTCTATGCCACAGCCTCAAAATAGGATGGCCCTTGCTCTCTCTTTGAAGTTTTTGCTAGGATTTACAAAGGGGAAAGAACTAATGAAATGGGAGGGGATACAGGACTCTCACCAGATACATTGAGCATATCATCAATCCTGCCAGTGATCCAGTAGTAGCCATCCTGATCCCGCCGGCAGCCTGGGAAGAAATACTCAACATAGTAAATACCTTACAGCAGGATACACAATTTATATTATAAAAACTGCCACACCTACTACAGTAGCTTATGGAAATCTTTTAACAAGCTTTCCTGCTTCCACTTTTGTTGCCTTGGCAACCATCTTCCAAGATGGCCCCACTGATCTTCATCTCCTAGTATTTATAGCCCTACAGCCCTTTCTTGTTATATAGCATTAGTCTATGTGATCAGCAGAATTTGGCAGAAATGATAGGTGTCACTTCTGAAATTAGCTTACTGAAGATATTTTAGCTTCCATCTTGGTCATATTCTCTCAGATCATTTGTTCTGGGTGTAGCCAGGTACCATGTGAGTAACCCTATGGAGAGATCCTGCCTAAACTTGCTGTTCTTCCAGAGGACCAAGGACCCATGCACCCATGTTCCCAGTACGCATGGTGGCTTACAACTGCCTGAGGATTCCTGCCCAAATCCATATGAGCCAGCATGTAAACAGACCCATAGGCTCAGTCAAACTTTTCAATGACTACAGCCCCCACTAACAGCTTGATTCTAACTCATGAGACACCCTGACTGAGAACCACCCAACCAAGTCATTCCCAGATCCTGATCCTCAAGAACTATGTGAAATGTGTTATTTGAAGCTGCTATCTTAGGGCGTAATTTGTTCCATGGCAATAAATAATATACCCAACCTCAAGTATATTTTTAGAACATTCAAAATTATTTTCCAAATTAGCTGCCCCCGATACGACATTGTGCGTACGTGTGTGTGTGTGTGTGTGTGTGTGTGTGTGTGTGTGTGTGTGTGTGTGTGTGTGTGTGTTACTGAGGACTAAACCTAACACTTCAGGTATGCTAGGCATATATGCTACTACTGAGCTATATCTCCACCGGCTCTCTTCTTTTCAGACAGGGTCTTATGTACCCCAGGCAGGCCTCAAATTCACTATGTATCAAAGTTGAGCCTGAATTCCTAATTCTGCTTCTGCCTCCCAAGTGCTGAGATTGCACTGTGCCCTGTTTAATGTGGTGCTGGGAACAGAAACAGAATTTTGTGCATGCTTAGGCAAGCATTCTACCAACTGAGCCATATCCCAGCTCTACCACTGTACTTTGAATAAAATCTAGACTGCTTACCCGGTCTACATGATTCTCTATTATCTATTACCTATATTCTGACTTAATGAAACATTCTTCCCTAGGCTTACTTCCCTCCAGCTTTACAGGCTCCAGTCCATTCCTTGTGAATTTCAAGGTTATACCCACTCTTTACAATACTCTTACTGTAGATTTTTCTATGCTTGATTGCTTTTCAGCCCTCAGGCCTCTGTTCAAGTATCACTCAGAGAAGCCTTCTCTGACTACCCTTGGAGGCACTATCTCATTGTTTTCTTCATAGCACTTATCTCTATCTATGACTAACCTGTAACCAATAAAATTGGTTTATTGCCTGTCCTCTCCTTAGTAAAATGTGAGCCCCATAAGATAAGAGAATGTGACAGTGTTATTCACAGTAATACACCATGTATTCATTAGATCAGTGCCTGGTCAGAGTAGGCACTCAATAAATACTGATGGATGGCTGGATGAACTGGAAGACAGACAGTGGACAAACAGGCTCCAGACATGAGGGCAAATATGACACAGTAATATCCATTTCTACATGCCCCATCTTTGTCAACACTAGAGTGAAAAATAAGAACCTCTTTTCCCTAGGATCTAATCTCAGATGGTATGTGCTGAGACTCTTCCTGCAGCACTCATTCCTGCTCTTTTTAAAAAATATTCTTTATTATTTATATATGTGTGTGTATCTCTGTTTGAGTATGTCCACTTGTGTGTGGGTGTCCACCAAGGACAGAAGAGGGCATTGGATCCCCTGGGGCTGGGGCTACAGGTGGTTGTAAGCCACCTGGCATGGGTGCTGGGAACCAAACTCAGGTCCTCTGGAAGAGCAGCAAGTGCTCTTAACCACTCAACAAGTGCTCTGAGCCCTCATTCCTGTTCTTACAGCCCTACTGTAGCTCTCCTGGATACCAGATGTGGACATCAGGACATACTCCTTTCTCTACTCTTCACCCCTGGCCAACTCTTCTGAAAATGAAAAGTGAAGGTATATGTTTTGGAGAGAGGGCTCGGGGCAGAACAGCCAAGGCTCACCATCTCCTGTCACATAGTAGCCAGGGAACTTCTTAAAGTAGGTAGTCTCAAAACGCGTGTGGTTCCCATAAACTGTGCGCATGATCCCTGGCCAGGGTTGCTTGAACACCTGAGGAGTGCAGAAGGTAAGTGATCACATCCTCTAGGCTATCTCAC